GGTATTTTCAATCACCTTGTATCCATGGGAAAGCTGGGCAATGAATAAGGAAGACCGAAGAAGAACTGATGCATTTGAATTATGGTGTTGGCAAAGAATATTGAATATACCATGGACTGCCAGAAGTACAAATAAGTCTGTCTTGGAAGAAATACAGTCAGAGTGCTCCTTGGAAGCGAGGATGGCGAGTCTTTGTCTCACATACTTTGGACATGTTATCAGGAGCGACCAGTCCCTGGAGAAGGACATCACGCTTGGTAGGGTATAGGGTCAGTGAAAAAGAGGAAGTCCCGCGATGAGATAGATTGACACCGTGGCTGCAACAATGCACTCTAACATAGTAACGATTGTGAGGATGGCGCAGGATCGGGCAGTGTTTCATTTTGTTGTACATAAGGTCACTATGAGTCAGAACCGACTGATAGCACCTAACAACAACAGCATATAGTTTCATATTATAACCCTAACTGTGATAGCAAAGAGTTAGACCCATTGAAACTGATCTAGAAATATCTGCAAGGGTCTAAATTGAGCTCACTGACAAGATGTCAACATCAAAAGGTAAATTTATGGGGAAAATGAATTTTGTGATAGTACAGGGAGTAGTAATTCTGGGCCTATTCCAGTCATTATCAAAACCTGTCATAATTCACATTTCTGAATCATCAACCAATTTAAAGTGTGATTTAGAAGGAAGGAAGGTAAATAGGAAGATGCTTCTGTAATTTTGCCTTGTATGGGTGAAGATCTGTGGTTGGAATTATGATTTAGTTTGTGAAACCCACCTGAATAAATATTAAATGTAATTTGAACAGATTAAGAGCATTGTAAGCTTGTCCTTAAAATGGAAGAAAATTGGGATTACTTTTTATTAATAGCAAAATCTAAAGAATTGCATGAACCACATTTTTCTTTGACTGACAGTGGAGAAAAGAGAATAGCAAAATATGACGAAGAGGTCTAAGCAATCAAGCAATGTTGGCGGGTGTGCCCAGTGATGCTGGGTGATGTAGGAGGAACATGAATGCAGGAATCCTGCCACTCTAGACTTGGAAGGTGCCTCTGAGATCATCTCAGTCTATGGACCTCTACCTGCCTGCTCGGAGTTGTATGGTTCTGAGAAGATTCATTAGAGACGGCTGCACAGAGTAGAGGGGCAGCTTAATGAGCACTGCTCTGGGTGTCCAACCTCTGCAATCAGAGAGGCCCATCTGATTAATATATTGGGGTTCTGTATACGATTTTGTGTGAAAAAAACATTCCATTGTATAGCATAAAAAATATTTAAAACTATTGCAGTTGATTATGCAACAATAACAACAAGAAAAAGGGGTGGGGCTACAGATGCTGATACTAATTAAACATAACCAATCAACTTATGGGATTAGTTATCTTGGTTTGGGGGCTTAGGGACGTGGTGTTGTGGGACAATCCAGTCAATTAGCATAATACAGTTCTTAAAGTTTATATTCTATCTCCCAGTATAGTGAGTAGTGTCTGGGATCTTAAACACTTACAAGCATCCATCTAAGATACTACTATTAGTCTTTATTCATCTGGAAGAAAAGAGAAAGAAGGAAATGAAGAGAAGGAACTGGACTACAGGACTAACTGTCTACATGAACCACTACCTCTTCTACCTCGAGACCAGAAGAACTAGATGGTGCCTGGCTACCACTACTGAACGTTCTGGTCCAGAACACAGTAAAAGAATCCTGATAAAAAGGGAGTAAAATGTGGAACAGAATTTCAAATTCTTAAAGAATCCAGACTTACTGGACCTGCTGAGGCTGGAGGAGTCCCCGAGAGTATGGCCCTGTGTTGATTTTCAAACCTTGAGTTGAAACTATCCCCTGAAGTCACCACAAGGAAGCCCATGCTTACCTTGCTTATTGAATAATCTGCTCCTGTGTTTGCATTTTTTTTAAAAATAAAAATTATTTATATAAGACCAAAGGGTCAGCAGCTATTTTAAAGCATAGATAAGAAGGTTGGGGGGCAGGGGGATTAAGCAGTGGAAGTCAAACAACTAGAACAGAAATAACGAGAAGGTTGACACAATGTGAAGAATGTAACCAAATGTCACTGATCATTATGTCTAGAAACTGTGGAATGGGAGTGGGTTTTGCTGTATTTTCACAAAAAAATTAAAAAAAATTGTGCAGTTGAGTAACCCCCACCCCTGCCCCTGTTCCAATTACATTATTGCAGAATTATGAGAAAAAATAGCTAAAGATCTGCCAAGCTATACTTTGACACGTTCTAGTGGTCTTGTTTGGCAGGGGGGATTCATCAGCTCTGTTTGCATTTATGCAACTCTACCATGCCAGGTTTGGGTTTTTGGAGATGTACTAGGGGAAGAATTGATGAACCCAGCTAAGGCTTCTTAAGAAGTGGGTATCTCCCACCCCAGAACAATACTCCATGAGCTAGTCTTATGTGTGAACGCATTTCTCAACTAATACTTACAGAGCACCTACTAAGTACCAGTAAAGGTGCTTCCATAGTGGCTATAATGAGCCGCATGGCAACCTGAAAACAGGTGCTGATTTACTTCTCAGTTGGAGTGAGATGATTTGATAAGTTTCCACTCAATGACTTTTTAATATACTTGGCATGTATTCCCAATAGAATTACCAAGAAATGACAAGCCTCCCTTTCCCACCCACACTACACAACTAGATTTGGGCATCTGAAAATAAGAAAAAGATAACAATTTGCAATTTTATTTCAAGAGATATTCATTATGTTCAAGAAATCTGTGGGGAGAATCACTGCAAGGAGAGGAAAAGGCGAATACAGTGGGAGCTGATGTCTTGGGATCCAGGGAAGCTGGAAAAGTAAACCCACTGGACTGCAACTCCAGTCCCTTGCTTTTTAGAGAAAGGGCAGTTACATCTGCAAAGAAGCTGTAGCCAAGAACCAGGGTGGGAATAGAAGAAGATCTGGAACTCATAGTGTAAATATGACCAAGGGCTGAATTGCTCCAGAACATATAGTGTATTCTAGCAATCTGAGGCTTGTGTCCTCACTGCTGATTCTCAAGGCAGAACTAAGTTTATGAAGCCCTGTTTGACAGCGTGAACTCATATTCCTGGGAAGCCCTTTATTCTTGGGCAAACCAGGACAGAGAGTTATCCTAGAGATATAAGAAAATAGACTTGGTGTTCTAATGACCTACTCTTTTACAGCAAGCCATCACAAAACTTGGTGATTTAAAACAACCACCATTTTGTTTGCCACCATTCTGTAGTCTGGACTGGGATCAGCTAGGCAGTTCTTCTGCTGGTATACTGATGGCTGTTTGTGTGGCTGTGTTCAACCATCCAGTTGGCTGGAGGCTGGGCCCAGCCGGCATACCGGGACATCTGGGCCTCTCTCCCTCTCCAAGTAATCCCAGAGCCTTTCCCTTTCCACGTGGCCCCTTCAAGGGGTTTTCTACAGCAGGGAGAGCAGAACTTCTTACATAGTGGCACTGGGCTCCCCAGAGTGCAAAAGATGCCTGGCTTCTCAAGGCTTAGGCCTGGAATTGGCATAATGTCACTTCTGCCACATTTTATTTGTAAAAACCAGTTACAAGGTCATTCTAGAGCCCAGTGGAGGGTACTGCACGTGGAATCAGTTCATTGGGGCTACCAATGTAACAGTGCACTGCAGAGTAGGCTGCTAACTTGGATTCACAAGCCTTGTGTTTTACTTGTAACCTCTGGTTGCTGGGCACTTCCTGCCTTGCTCTACTCACACTGTCAAAGAGAACTCAGTATGAATAGTTTGAACACTGGTCAGATCTTTCAAGAGCTCAGATAGGTGGAGGACACATTTATCCCTTATTCTTACTTCTGTCAAACATACTGAGGATGATGAATCTCTGTTAAGGTTGTGGGAAGGTTTGCAGGAAAACAAACAGTTAAGAGGCCTGGATCTTACCTTGTTTATGTGAGGCTGCAAAAGGACCTGACTCTTTCATGCAACATTTTTTGCCACCGCCTATACCAGGGTTTCTGCTCAGTGCAGGAATTCCATTTTTAGTTGTGAGTTGCTCACTCGTAGACTCCGACTTATGGGGACCCCTTTCTTCCAACTCATAGTGACTCTGTGTGAGTTTGAACCGCCATCCTTGAAGTTGGCAGTGGAGCGCTTAACCATTTCACTACCAGGGTTCCTTGACCAAGGCATAGCACTGTCTGAAAGGAGCTAACCCTTCTCAAAATGGACTCCTCTCCCACCCCAGGTCTTGTCTTAACGTTTAAACAAGTGTCAGAACGGGTCCATGGGTCCTTCTTCTCTTTTCTCAACTCAAGGCTAGCTCCACTGCAGCTCAACACCCTTCATTGACTTAGTCTCCCAGTCAGCTTCCCTCATTGGGCTGTGAGCCTCTTGAGGACACGGCGGAGTCAGGGCGGTCTTCTTGAACACCAAGGTGTATGGTGAGAGGTATGAGCTCTGGCCAGGGTGGTCCAGCTGGGTATGCCTGGGAGCTGCTGGAAACCAGCAGGCACAGCTCCAATCCCATTGGCCACCGACTTCCATCTTCCCTGGGGTTCTCCTTCCCCCTCTGTTCCCATTTTTGGCTGGAAAGAATCGGGGCCCCTCTCCCTGTCTCCAACACAAACTCCGCGTTGAAAGAACCCCGGATTGTACCAGAGAGCTGTCCCTGGGGCCTGGGGCTGCTGCTTGGCCTCGTTCCCTCTCTCTTCCTGACCTCTTCTCCCACCCTTGTGGGCACTCTCTGACCATTCTGGCTTCTGGCTTCTTGGCGCTGTTTTCCGCACCGCACTCTCCTCCCCAGTGTTACCGCCAGTCCCGGCGCGTCACGCCTCCGGCTCTGTCGCTTTAAGCTGGTCCCCGCCGCCGCGCCCCTCCCTCACCGCTGCTCGCCCGCGGCTGTCTCTCGCCGCCTCTCCGGTTCCTCCTCCTCCTCTCCTCCTCCCGCTTCTTCTCGCCGCCGCCGCCGGCCCCGCTGCCCGCTCCGCTCCTCGCAGCCTTCCGGACCTGCAGCCATGGCCGACATCAAGACGGGCATCTTCGCCAAGAACGTCCAGAAGCGACTCAACCGGGCGCAGGAAAAGGTCAGAGGAGGGCGGCGGGCAGCAAGGGCAGGTGGCAGGATGGCGCGGGCGCGCCTGGCGAGGGCAGCGCCCGCTGGAGGGAGCGCAGGAGGCCGGGCTGGCTGCGGCGTTGTGAGACCGGGGTCTCAGGGTGCGGGACGCTGCGGGGCCGGGGTCGTGGGGATGCCTTGCCCTCCGCCCGCAGCGACTGCAGCAAAGGCAGCACCCAGGCGCTGCGGGGGCCGGGAGGAGGGAGCGCGCAGCCAGGGACCCGTAGACCCCATCCCTGGAGACTCTGGGTCTGCCAAATCTCCCCGGGCCCCTTCTGTCCCGCGCGGCGTTCTGGACCCCCTGGAGGCGGCCCGGGCGTGGCTGCGAGCCCCGCTCTCCTGGGGCTCAGCGCTGGCACGAGAAGTCGCTGGTGTGGCGGGTCGCCCCGCAGCTCCGGGCATCGGCGTCTGCTTCCCAGCTCGCTCGCAGGCAGCTTGCAGAGACGCGTCCCCGCAAATCCGGGCGAGAGATTGCGGCAGCAGTCCTTCCTCAGGGGGAATTCATGGGCATCTCAGTGCAGTAGAAACCAGATTTAGCACAGAAGTGCCAAGAATATCAGTTTGAACCAATAGGGCTGGATAGCGAAAATCCAGCGGCTTTATACATGCTGTCGAGTGAATCGCGGAGTTTATAACAGAGATCTGGACATAGACATACTGTGTGTGTGTGTCTATGTATGTGTGTGCCTTTTGTTGCCACTGTCCTTCTGTGGAAGGTCAAAAATAAGTACGACCTGAACCCAACAGCTCTCCTCTGCACATTTTTGAAAAAAGGGGAATATTTTATTGCATTATAAAAACCCTCGTTGCACACGTTGTGTTTTGGGTTTTTTTGTGAGCCACTGTGTAAATTACCCACAGTAATTTATTTTTCTCCCCCCAGAGATGTGCGTAAATTAAACCCAGGACTGTACCCCAACCGAGTGAAGAGATACAGTACCAGGCACTGAGCTTGCCTGGTTTACCTAATGACTGCTTGCATTTGATAGCACTGAGGTCTTCGTTTGCGCCTTGAGCCAAGGACATTTGTAGCTTGAGCATTGTACTTGAAAATGAACACTAGCTAAGGAGCTCCATGATTTGTATCAGTTGAGCTGTGTCTTCTTTCACGTGGCAGTATTTTCCATCTCTGGGATACTGGGTGTTTAGCATTTTACTGAAAGTCGGACTTGCTGATTTGTTCACTATGCCAATGAATTTCGCGCTTCAGGCCCAGGCTCAGGCTATCTCCCAGTTCAGGCAGACCCCAAGGAGCTGAGTAGAAAGGGGTGCTGATCCCTTTGCTGTGTCCTCAGTGGCTGCCCTAGCCTCTCCCGCCACACATGCACACTGTCAACGCAGTAAGAGGATTGTATTTCTTTTAATATCCACCAAGCTCATCTTGAACCAATGGGGATCCTCCTTCCTCCACAGCTGGATTAGCAATGCTTCCTGCTCCCTTCCAGTCCCTGGTTACTTGTCCAGAAAGTCGCCAGGGATCTACTGGCCTTGGTGTCAGGGCCAGGTTTTCTGATCATTTTTTAATACTTGGTTTTATACAGTTGTAGTTATTCCTTCCCCCAACTCTCTTCACAGGTAATTACTTGAATCTTCTGTCTGAAGCTTTCATTGACTCCCACTTTCCGTGTGTGAAGCGATTTAGTGATATGGTCTGCCTTTTCACATATGAAATTATTTAATCTAGGTCACCAGCTGATATTAATATGCCCAAAATAAATGAAAAGAAAATGTAATCTCTTTTACAGAGCAAGTAAGCTCTCATGAATTGAAAAAACAAAACAAAACAAAACAAAACAAAACTGTGTTTTTTCTTATTAAGGTCAAGTATGTATTAGGACTACAATTGTGGATGAGTGGTCCCTCTTCCATGGAAGTGGAGGTCTAAGGGAACTTGGGCAGGTCTTCAAGCTAGCCATTTTCTTTCCTGGGAAAAGTTACGGATGAACAATGCCTGTTGCACTTATTTGAGGTCGTTAAGACACCAAGAGGCTGAAAGTATGTGTTCTGCCCCTTAGTAAGTTCTGCTCCCTTTCCAGACCTGTGCAGCGTCAGATATGCTTGGCACAAAGGGAAAAAGAACATTTGGGGATCAGCCCGGCCGAGTCCAAACGGAAGCTCCTGGTGAATGGGAAGCACAGTACATGTGTGGCTGTTGGAGACTTCATGAAGCATCTCCCCCATTGATTCCCTCTCTGCACCTTCAGTCTCCTCTTTTCTCCATTGCTCAGAATCTCCATCTCAGTAATTGTGCACCACACGTGTTCTGAGACCCTCTTCTCCTTGCTTTTACCATCAAATTTTTCAAAAGAGAGTCTACCACCTTGGCTTTCTTATCATCTGTGATCTGTTAAACAGTTTGCATGCATTTCGGCTCCAAATGCGTGTCTGAAGCTCTTAAGAGGTGACTTAAGGCTTTTTGTGAATTTAAAATATATTTTTTCTTATTAAAAAGCAGTTAAGGTTAATTGAAGAAAGAATGAAATATACAAATAAGCAAAACAAACAAACTGCTGAACAAATTAGGACACTCCTGATTCTATCAGCTAGAGGCTTTACTTTCATTTGATGTGTATCCTACTAGATGTTTTCCCACGTATATATGTATACATACAAATAAAATAGGTTCATACTGTATATATGGTTTTATAACCTGTTTATTTCAGTTAATAATTATAAATGTCCTTCCAGATTAATTTATGTAAATATTTTCCGTCAACATTTTAAATGACTGAACAGTATTAGAATGTATGGATTTAATGAATCCTCGATTTTTTGGACATTTCAATTTTCCAGTGTTTCTGTATATAATTACAAGTCAGTGGAAAAACTAATAGGGAAAATGTTTGCACACACCCTTAATTCTCTCCTTGGATAAATTCCTAGGAGGATTATTGTGTCAAAGATATGTTCATTTTATTGGAGCTAAATTGCCTTCTAGAAATGATGTATCAATTTACATTTTTACCAGCAGTTCATGAGTCACTTGCCAATACTGGATATTAAATTTAAAATAATCTTCAGTGTTGTGACTGGAGAAATTAATTCCTGATTTATTTCATTCATTTGATTTTTAAAAACTGAACTTTTTTACATTCTGATTTTTTAAATTCATGAATTGTGTGTGTATATGTTTGCCCATTTAATTTTTAATTGTTTTGCTTTTTTTTCTGATATACAGAATTTTTATGTTTATGTTACGCTTATGTTTTATCAAATTGATTAGTTTTGTGTGGTTTCTATTTTGGGTGGTTGAATGAGTCAGGATCTTACCATTTGAAAGTATCACAAAACTCAAACTGGCCTAAGGAAAAAAGGGAATTTAATTGCTAATAATAAGAATAGCTAACACTTATTTATTTATTATTCCTTACACATATAAATAAATGTGAACTGGCTTTTAATATATAAATATATGTATATTAAGACATACATATAAATATACACAGGTATGTGTATGTTTATTATATATTAGCTCATTTGATCCTATGTGGTCGGTACTATTACCCCCATTTTATAGATGAAGAGGAGGTTAAGTGACATGTTTAAGATCATACTGTAAGTGGTAAAGCCAGAGTTTGAGCCCAAGCGATCCAGTGCTTTCCCATCACATTATACTGCCTTCTGTAACTATGAAAAGGGCAGGAGTAGACACGCTTAGGGCTGCATAGAACCAGGGCTGTACCGCAGAAACCAGGGCTCACTTGCCCTCTCCCTATCTCTCATCTGGCTGTCCATCCTCTCAGCCCCATTCTTGGTCAAGTTCTTCTCTCTTGGTGGAAAGATGGCTGCAGCAGCTGCAGGCTTATATCCTCTTCTCAGTAGCTTTAGCAGAAAGAGTGTGTCTTTCCTTCAACATTTTGACAGAACTCCTTGGTATAACTCTCGTTTGTCCAAAATGGGCCTTGTGCCTATCCCTGGAAGAAAAAATCTTTGTGGCCAACTGCCAGGACCATGTGGTTGAATTGGGCTTGAGTCACATTGGGCTTGAGTCACAAGCCATTGCTGAAGCTCAGATGGAGAAATTCTCCCTGAACCATATGGACTGATGGTGGAGGAGGAAGGAAAATCAGAGCACAGAAGAAGGAAAGAACACTGGACTGACAAAAGATGTCCAGTGAGGCATACTTTAAACCTCCATCTAGTGTTTACATGACTAATTGCATATTTAATATTTTAAATTTAATATTTGCTGAAAATTTGTTTAATTTTTTTTTGAAAATCAAATTAATATATGCACAGGTATTTCCTGATCTATCCTTTTATGTTTGGTGAAGATGGGTAAAGATATAGCTCTATTACACTCATCCTTCTACTTCCCCTTCCCCTAATCATCCATTATGGCAAAAATTGTTGATGGCTGTGGATTACATTTTTTAAAAATGAAGTATAATTTTTACTGAATAAGATGTACAGATGTATGTGAATATCTATGTAGCTACTACCCAGATCTAGAACATTTCTATCATCAAAGTTGCCCTTCATCCTAAATATTATCCTTCATGCCTCTCATTTTTTCTTAATTCACACTTTTTTAATTCCATTGCTGTGATTTTCCTGATGACCACCTTTGTATGTGCTTAATAGTAATTTGGATATTTTGTTTTGTGAAGTGTCTGTTTAGTCTCTTGTCTGTTTTTTATTTGAGTTGTTTGCCTCATTTATTTGTAGAAATTCTTTACATATTCTGGATATGTCTCCTTTGTCACATAAATATGTTGTGAATATTTTCTCCCAGACAGCCTTTTTGTTTTCTTAACTGTGCCCTTTGATGAGTAGAAGTTTCAAATTTATATTTTCTGAAGATTAAGTTTTTCGTATAGCTTTTTGTTTTCCCTGGAGTTAATACTTGCCTTGTTTTGTCATTTGTTCATTGTTTTATGAACTATTTACTGTTGTTTCTTCTTGCCTCATCAGATATGCAAATGCCTATTAATATTATTATCAAATGTTCAAACATATCAGATAATGTGA